CAACGCAAAGTTTTGTTACAATCAATGGAAGATTTAAAATTTTTTAACCAATGTTGGTATCAATGTTACTCGTATACCTACGAAAAACTAATGAAAATTCAAAATTATCCGTATGACATTAAAATTTTATTTTAAAAATGTTCCTTCACTAATGGGCATTAGAAAGTTAGTTTAAAATAATTCTGATAGAAAGTATAAAACATACTGTCATTTTTTTTTTGTTTTGTTAAAAGTAAAAAATGTTTGTCTTATTAATAAAATTTAAGGAAGCAAATTTTCATGTTACAAGAAGTAACGAAACGACAAACTGTCACACAAATTTCCACACATCCCACTGCTCTTACGTACAACCAACGACCCAATAAATATTAATTAGACTTATGAATGTTCATACAATTAGTGACAGTTGATTAGCTAATGTCTCCTAATAAAGCAACTGAAAAAAAAAGATTCATACTCACTTGATAATAACGACGTCGAGGTCGAGATAGACGCCCCCGAACCTCCACAGGGTCAGATACCTCAGAATGTCGGACATGTGGCTCCTGGGCCAGCGGCTAGTCCCGAGCACCCCGTCCTCGTACCACCGTTCCAACGGCGACTCCTTGATGTAATCGTCAACCAGTATCCTCTTGACCCTCACGTTGTCGTAGCGCAGCAGGAGATCCAACAATTTCCGGGTGCGATTGGACGGCGCCGATGGACTGAGGAACAGCAAATTCACCGACATTCCCGGGTTGGCTCGAGCCGCGGATTCTACGGCACAGGCTTGCCGGCAGTTGAACTCCAGCTGGTGGTTTGTCTCGCGGCCGAAGCACGAGGTCTCGTGGAAGAAGATGTTCTTGCCCGACGAGAGACGGGCTTGCTCTGGAATTACGTGCTTGGTTGTTACATGTGCACTTGTTTGCGCGCACTAATTGACCATAAATTGGCTCTGATGAACGGAAATGTCCGTTAGGCTCTTTTTTTTTTTTTCCTTTCGAGGGACGTGCACGCGAGTGGACAAGTACTATATATTATATTATCATAATAATGAGAGAAAAAAAAAATTGTTTTTTTTTTCGCACATTGGCGCAAGACAATGTACCTACGTAACTCTGCATCGCGTTAAAAGTTAAGCAGTCGTCAATAGTCCAAGTGGGTCGTTAAACGCTTACATCCGTTTCCGTCGGGCGCGGAGGCCGATCGACCGGCCGCAAAATACAGCTGTGTGGGTATATGCGCTTATCTACACTCTTCTATTCATCGTTCTAGAAACGCCGTCTTATTTAACTAATTTAAGCTTGAATTTCTCTTCTAAATACTGTTTTGTCGCTTCGATTACATCCATGGCATTAAATTTAATTATTTACCATTGATAACATCATTTTT